AACTGTCAGCAGCTTCATCTCATTTGGATCCATAATCAATACCCTTGGTACCAGGGGTTAGGAGATCAGAAGGCAGCATTACTGGGAAAGTCTTCAGTCAGGGACTTCTCCAAATTACTGAGGAGCAATGATGTCAGTTTGAGGACTAAGGAGTGCCTGATTCAGATCATGGTCTTTTCAAATCACCTGTTATGCTGTTGAGTGTTGAATGAATAAGGAGGACAGAAGAAGCGATGCCTTTGAGCTGTGGTGTTGGAGAAGAGGACCGAACGTCCCATGGGCTGCCAGAAGGTCAAACAAATCCATCCTTGAGAAGGTGCAGCCCACAGTGCTCGCTGGAAGCAAGGATGGCAAAGTTCCATCTCACATACTTTAAGCATGTTGCCAGGAAAGGCTACTCCTTAGAGAAGATCGGGATGAAGAACACGGAAAGGTGGAGGTGGGGGGGAGGGAAGGAAGACCCTCAACCCAGTGGACTGACACAGCAGTAGGTTTAAGCGTCTCAGAGATTGTGAGCACGGCACAGGACAGGACAAGGTTCAGACCCGTTGTTCATAGGGTCGCTATGAGTCATACTCGACTCGACAGCACCTAACAACAACAAAACAGTCTTAATAGCCTAGAGCATTCTTTTTAAAAGAATGCCAAATACTTGCAGCGCTACTCAAAGAACTGGGATTCCAAAGGAGACACTTATCCCTACTGAGGAAGTATTTTTCCAGAAGTCACATGATCTGGCTGTCAGTTAACACGGCAGAGACATAACTAAACACTCACAAAGAAGAACCCCGCAGTCCAGTTAAAACAGGCCACCTTTCCCAAGTCCAGGACATGGTGGCTTCCAGGAGATCCAACAGGATCAGGCGTCATCATCCCTTTTATCCCAGCTCCCTCCTCTCTCACACGTTTTGTAGAAAATGTGACAATTTAAAAAAAAAAGAAAATAAAAAAGCAATATGAGAACGTGCTATTTTGACCAAAACCCATAACGTCTGTTCACAGAGAAGTAATTATGGAGAGAACAGCACAGCTTCAAATATCATTCTGGCTGCTGTTTCTCAGGCAAAAATTCAGCTGGCCAGTCTCTGTTGTCCTCAGACTGGCAAGCTCTGTGTGGCTTCTTGGCACAGCTAAGGACCAGGCGAGTCAGAAAAAGAAATGTAAACTTCCGGCAAATTAACACCACTTTGCTGGTGACACACTTTCCCCCTCCGCCTCTTTCTCTGCCGAGATGTTCAGGGTTGAAGAAATAACAGATAATGAGAAATAGGCCAGACCATTGCTAGTTCTTTGCAGGAGAATACAGATTTGGCTTTTTGCTTTAGGACGCAAAGGAGAAAACAAAACCATAACCTTGGGTAAGAAACCTTCCAGGAACTGTTAATGGTTCCCAGGTGAACATCACCTCCTTGGGCTCATCAGTGTGCGGCCCAGACCTGCCCAAGTGCGGCCTTGGACTGAGCCTCGGCTTGGCCCCACCGCTCAGTTAATGTCTAGGTGTCTGTAGTCCCCAGTGGAAGCAAATGAAACACTAAGAAAGAAACACAGCAATGGAAATAGATTGATAGCAGAACCCAATTTTCGGTCATGCAAATTCTTGAAACTCTTATTTAAAAAAAAACTGTCATCTTTCAACAAATGAATGGATAGAGAAGCTGTGGTATACTCACACAAAGGAATAATATGCAGCATTGAAAAACAAGGAACTCATGCAGTTTTATTAAAAATAGGTGACACTGAGGGGAGCTCTGGTGGCCTAGTGGCAAGGAGCTGCAACTACAAACCCAGAGGTGCACGGTTCGAATCCACCAGATGCTCTGCCAGGGAAGGAGGGGCAGTCTCCTCCTGTATCAGTCAGATCTGATTTGACAGTACACTCACACAAAATTTAAAAAAAAAAAGGTGATACTGGAGGGCATTATGCTGAGTGAAGTATCTCAGTCACAAAAGGATAAATATTGCACAGGGCCACTGTTGTAAAACGGAACTGACATTGGGGTTGAGGGAAGACAGAAAAAGAGGGGAGGAATGATGTACATTACATTGAAAGAGATGAGGGAGAGAATGGTTTAAAAGGGACCTATGAATGGGTATTGTTATCATTACAGAAGTCCAGAGTGAAGGATGCATAGTGGAGTGGACTTGGGGGGAGGGATTGCATAACAATGAAAGAGTTTTTCTTTTCAAGAAGAAGAGTGAATTGAGGGGGAAGGGGTGGGGGGGTAGGGAGAAAAGTGCAACAATGAATGACTCGAAACCCCTAAGTCTTGGTAAACTTTCATTAAAATTAACTTAAAAAAAACCCCACAAACCACCACCTGTCATCTTCTGACAGAAAAATACACAAGAAAAAATATTGCAAGAAAAGCACCTCCTCCTTCTCATTTGAGAACTGATATTTTACAATGTATACATCAGTGAATGTGTGTGGCTGAAGTAAAAACAAACAAACAAACAAAAATACCACAAAGCTTGGGAAGAAGTGAAAGTGCATGCACCAGGGATTCTTCCTCCCCTTGCTCAACAGACAGGCGCTGTGTTTACAGACTAGCCCCAGTTACCTCAGACCCATTACGTACAGTGAAACCTGTGAGAACCAGAACTCAACGAGGCTGCTGCTTTCCCCACATCTCCCAGGTTTCCCTCCTTTGACAGGTTCCAGTCCTCTCCTCTATCTCTCGTTTCACTGGAAAATACTTGCATTTTCTCTCTCCAGCAAGTGTCTCCTTACACATGTCCTGGCATTCACAAGTTCTACTATGGATATTAATTCATAGTAATATAGGTAATTGAGGGGCAGTGCGTGCAGATGAACTACAGCCTTCACTATGGATTACAACTCAACAACAAGAACACGAAAATCCACATCACTGGACTGAAAGGCAACAACATGAAAGCAAAAGGCATGAGCGGTCAATGACTTCATTTCACTTGGATTCTCAATCAGCAGTCATGAAAGCAGCAGTGAAGAAATCAAAAGACATACTGCATTGGGGAAATCTACTGTCGAAGGACCTCTCCAAAGTTCTAAAGAGCTAGCATGATAGTTGAAAGACTAAGGTGCGCCTAACATAAGTTAGGGTGTTTTCAATTGTTTCCTATGTTCCTGACGTTGCTCAATGAATGGGGAAGACTGAGGAAGAATCAATGCCTTTGAATTGTAGTGTTTGAGAAGAGAACTAGCCCTAACATGCACTGCCAAAAGAACAAACAAATAGTTCTTGGAGGAAATACAACCTCGGGTACTCCTTAGAGGCAAGGATGGTGAAATCTTGTTTCACATACTTTGGGCATGTCAGGAGGGACTAGTTCTTGGAAAAGACATCATGCTGGAACAGGTCGAGGGTCAGAGAAAGAGAGGAGGAGCCTCAACGAGATGGACGGACCCAGCTACTGCAGCAATGGGCTTCAGCTTGTCTGACAGGCATCATGAGGATGGCACAGATAGGGCAAGAGTTTATGGGCTGTTCTTCTGTGAATCACAGTTGTCTCTAAGACACCTAACAACAACATGCAGCCTAAACCAAGGAGGTAAGAAAGCACTTCTTGGGGGAGGTAGTGGTTTATGAATGGGGTTTGGTTTGGTTTTACTGGAGAGCATCTCTAGAGGTTCCCTAAAATTCTCAAGGGTGTGCCTGCTCCCTTCACATGATAAATAATCTCAAAGCAGAAGAAGCCCTTACTATCAGCTTCCAGGTGTCGTTTAAGTACATAATAAAACAGATGGGATTGTAGTCTAACGATTGGGGCAGGGAGTTATAATACTGTAATTGGTAGATTATCCATGTTCAAGCAGAGTTGTTGTGATAAATCTCAATAATGATCTTCATTTGCAGTATGATCTTCCAGGTTCCATAAGGTTACTGTACGCTGGTTCTAGCGGATCTTCATAAATCAAGTATCCAAGGATTGTTTTACTGCCTCGCTCATCTGGTATAGAACCAACATGCTACTCGCAGTAAGTATTAATTAATGATTAATAGAACAATTTCATTTGACATTCTGAAGTCTAGAAAGGCTTTCTTGGGGGAAATCAAAGGGACCCAATAAAAATCTCCCAAACCAACTCCCTGGTATCAAGTGTCCCCCGGCTCTTAGAGATCCTACAGGACAGAGTAGACACACACACACAGCCGCCAGGGTAAATCTTGAAGGAAGTGAACTATCTCCTCTTTCCCCCACAGGGCAGCCGGTTGTTTCAAACCACCTGACCCACGTTTCTTTAATACCAAACCCAGGAATCTGAGGAACTGATGTGGCCACCAGAGCTGAGTGCTAACTTTGTCTGAGGAAGTCAGTGGTGGGATCTGAGGGCTGCCCTGTGGTGTTGGAGAAGACTAGGGAACATCCCATAGATTGCCAAAGACCCCAACAAGTCTATCTTGGATGAAGTGACACCAAAGTGCTGCAGAGAGGCAATGATGGGGCAACTTCACCTCACATAGTTTGGGCACGATGTCGCGATGGGCCAATCCTCGGAAAGGACATGTTGCTGAGAAAGGTGGAGGGTCTGAGAAAGAGAGGAGACCTTCAACATGCTGGATCGACATGGTGATTGTAACAGCGAGTTTGACCACGGGGGAGACTGTGAGGGTGGGAAGGTCAGAGGAAGAGAGGAAGACTCTCAACGAGATGGACTGACAGGGTGACTGAAATGTTGGGGTGACCAGGAAGGCAATTGTCAGGATGGAGCCAGGTTCAGAACTGTTGTTCACCAGCTGCTACGAGCTGAGGACTACTCAACAGCATCTAATAACAATAACAATGGAAAGGACAGTGGCCACACTGGGTCATGGACATATAAAACAGAAGCAGGTCCATGCTGGAAGCCCAAGTCAGAGGACAGTGGCACATCCAGACTCCATAGATCTATTGTGTCAAACTCATCAGGGTTTGAATTTTCTCAGCTGGGTTTCCCTCTTCCTTTGATGGCCTGTGATACTTGTCGCCAAACACAACTTCCAACAGTTCGGAAAGGAGGACCCAAGAAATTCACTTACCAGTGGCAGGTGGGTGGTCGCCGGTGGGGCCTCCCCTGGTGGCGTTTGGAGCACTGCCATCTGCTTCATCCCAGGACTGGCCTCCGTGTTCAGCCTCCTCCGCCTTGTCTTTGTGGGGCAGGCCCATGCCATAGGCACACTGGGGCAAAGGTCCACTTTCTGGGGGTTCTCGGTCCTCCCCAGCAGGGTCACAGGCTGCCCAGTGGGGACATACCCCACCATCCACCTCCCTCTGCATGTACTTCTCCGAGTCTACAGGAAGCCAGTCTGTCCTGCACGAGGGCTCAGCCAAGTGGCAGCTCTCCGGGTCCCCCACACTCTCGGTCCCAGTGAAGCACTGGCTCAAGCTGTCATTCTCCCCCACTTCCAGGGGCTCAGGAAAAGGGGGTGCAGCTCTGCTTCCAGGCTGCAACTGGAGCAGCGAAGAGTCTGCGGGCTGGGAGGGTCTATCGACATACTCGTCCTCTGTGGGCACATGCCTGAAGGTGTTCCCCTGCAGCTCACTGATCGTGGACAGTGCAGTGGCCTCTTCTGGGGCACATGCCCCCCCACCTGGATAACACAAGTCTTCAGGAAACCCCTTCTCCTCCAGGGTCAGCAGCAGGATGCCCTCACAAACTTGGCCCTGACCAGCGACTGACGTCCGAGGGTGGATGAAGGTGTCACCTGCAGACCCCTGCTGAAGAGAGGCAGATGGGTCAGTGTCCAGCTGCCAGGACATGATTCTGTCCCACGCCTCTGAAAACCAGCTTCACGCTCATTATTTTCACCATAACAAGTCCAGAGGGGACCTGAAGGCTTTATTTGGATGATTTTAAACAAAAGAATAAAAAGTAGGATGAAACAAACTCAGAAAGGATGGGGGACAACCCTGAGATGAGGTACAATCAGAAACAAATCTATTTCTAAGTGTATGATTGTAAGGAGGCCTGGTGGCACAACGGTTAAGCAGTGGGTTACTAACCAAAAGGTGAGCAGTTCAAAGCCATTGAGGGCTCTGTTCTAATAAAGATTACAGCCTAGGAAACTCAGCGGGGGCGTTCTACTCCATAATAATGAAACAACAGAAGGAATAGAGGATTAGGTAATATTTTCATGACAAGATTACAGAAAAAGAAATGCATAGCAAAGTGGACTGTGGACTTGGGGGGGATTGTATAACAATGGAAGAATATTTTTTTTCTCAAAGAGAAAAAATGAACTGGGGGGAGGGGTGTACAGGGAGGAAAATGTGCAGCAATGAATGAATGTGGGGAAAATGAAATGGAAAGAATATGCTGTAAAAAAATATATATATATGTTGTATTAAAAGGGTCATTAATAAAAAATCAGGGAAAAAACAAGTGATCTTTTTAAAAAATAATGAATTGCTTCAATTCTTAATGAAACAAATTAATAATAATAAAACAATGTGACCCCATCTAAATAATCAGTGGATGTGATAAAAGGTTGGGCAGGAATTCTTTGCTCTGTTTTTGCAACTTTTCTCTAATTTTGAAATTACACTCAAATAAAGGTACTAGAATAATGACACAGTGAGGAGAATTGCAATCTGTCTCTCTAGGACTCTGTGGTCAAGGATCAATAGTTGCACTAAAAACCATTGACACTGTTGTACAGAGAGAGCAGAGAACCCACTGTGGCCAGGTCAGTTCTGACTCAGTGACCCTCCAGGGACTGCCTCATCACGGTGGGTGTGGACCGGCAACCTTGAGGTTAGCCACTCAAACGCTTAATCCACTCTGTCAGCAGGACTCCTTGATAGAACAGAAGGGCAATAAAAACCACACACAAAGAAACCGGAACATTGAAGTTGTGTGCTGACTTGGTCTTTGGATTATTCAGTGCAGACCAATGCTGGGTGTGAAGTCAGAATACCCCAGGATCGCGTCCTCAATGTTTGACTAGTAGCCTCAGTGATAAAATAGACAGGAGAGATGCATAACTTTACCTTACTTCCTCTTAGCTGGCTGCACGCCTCATTGACCCAGCGCCACAGGTTAGCTAGAAAAAGAAAGAAGACGCAAAGATTAGTATTCTGGTCTCAGGGAGCTCTGGTGGCTCAATCCAGAGGCAGGCAGTTCAAATCCACCAGCTGCTCTTGTGGGAGAAAGATGGGCAGTCTCCTTCTGTGCGATTTGTAGCCTCTGAAAACCCAGTGGAGGCTCAGGTCCCACTCAGCGGGACATACAACAACATTCTGAGTTCAATGACATACAGACTTTGTCACGATCTTTCCTGTACAGAATTCCATGTCACTGACCATGGCTGTCCAACACAATCTTTAAACATGGTTCTCTCTGAGCCTTTCAGTGACAATTCCAAAGAGGTGACACATCTGAAAATAAGCCAACCGAGAGCAAGAAGAAGAGGATATCTTACTCCCTCTGCAAAATGTAACTTGTTCTTCTATGTGAACCTATTGCTATGGAGTTGGCCCTGACAAGTGGTGACCCTCTATAAATCTTTCTCCCGAGGAGTGAGCTGCTGACGTTTTGGTTGGTAGCCCAGCACATTCCATGCTATGCCACCAGAGATCCTCGTTCCATCCAAGGCATAACTTGATGGTCCATCGAGTTACTGGACACATTTGGGGCCACTGGAGCTGCTGATAGGACTCTCAACACTCATTCCTTACAATTTGGGTTTGGTTTTTTTAATTCCTTACAATTTTTGATTGTGAGGAACCAGGTCACGCATTACAGGGTAACAAAGATGTTTAAGAGATTTGCTTCCCAGGAAACCGGTCAAACATATTTCTACCAACTATATTTGCAACTTTGGAAGCAGGAGTGGCATCCACTTCCTAAACAACGTGCCTCTGGAAACTATGAACTTTATTAAATTATGATAGTTATAGAAAGGTTTTAGGCCTTTTGTTCACAGGGTCACTATGAGTTGTGCTCAACTTGACGGCAATCAACAATATTTACAACAAAAGTAAAATGCACACAGGAAGTCTACATGTCAAGCTCTGCTTAGTTCCCCAAATCAAAATGCAAATCCACTGCTGTTGAGATGATCTGGAGTCGTGTTAACCCTCCTGGGTTTCTGGAACTGTCAGTCTTTATGGGAGGAGATGGCCTCGCCTTTTCCCCACAGAATGGCAGGTGAATTTGAGCCTCTGATCTTTTAGCAGCCTCACATGATACGCATTACACTACCAAGACCCTTTCTCTTGAGTTCTAGGGGACCTGGAATCCTTTCCCACCATACCTGGTTGCTTCTTCAATGAGAAAGAATAGATATTCCATCAACTTTTAAAAATAGAAACAATGATCACCTGAGAAGTGAAATCCATGGGTAGAAATAATCCATAAATTTATGTTTCAATAGTTTAGCCAAGTTCAAGGTATTCGCGATTTTTAAAAAGTCCAAACTCACTGCCGTTGAGTTGATTCAGACTCAGCAACCCTATGTTGTTGTTGTTTCTGTTGCTGTTGTTGTTGTTGTTAGGTGCCATCAAGTCTGACTCAGCGATGCTATGAACAGCTGCCCTGAACCCTGCCCTGTCCTGTGCTATCTTCACCATCTCTGACACTCTAGAACCCACTGCTGACGTTATCTTGTCAATCCATGTCGTTGGGGTCTTCTTCTCCTTCAGTGACCCTCCATCTTTCCAAGCCTGATGTCCCTTTCCAAGGATCAGCCTCGCCTAGCTACATGCCCAAAGTATGATGGAGGAAGCTTCGTTATCTTTGTTCCCAAGGAGCACTCTGGCTGCATTTTTTCCAAGACATATTTGTTTGTTCTTTCGGCAGTCTGTGGGATTTCATTACTCTTCTCCATCATAACTCAAAGGCACCAATTCTTCTTCTGTCCTCCTTAGTCATTGCCCAGCTCTCTGATACATAGCAGGTGATTGAGAAGACCATGGCCTGAATCAGATGCCCCTTAGTTTTCAAACTTACAGCAACCCTGTAGGACTCAGTCAAACTACTCACAGGGTTTACTAAGCTGTGAATCTTCATGGAAATAGACTGTTTCACATTTGTCCTGTGGAAAAGCTGATGGGTTTGAACTGTGGATCTTTTAGTCAGCAGCCAAGTGCTTAACTAGTAAGCCAATGGGACTCTGTATTCACTATAAAGATTAATCATTTGTAAGGCAGATTGGAGATCAGGGTTGGAAGATCATCACACTCACTCATCCCCCCATTTCTACTGAATCAAACTAACTCATAGCTGACCCTCCGCTGGGTTTCCAAGTCTATAAATCACATAGCAGGAGACTGTCCAGCTTCCTCCTGCAGAGCTCCTGGTGGATTCGAACCATCAGAGAGGCACAGACTGCTGGTTAGCAGTGCACCTCCCTATGGACCACACGCCTGAGCTCCCACAGGGAGATAATCACAGTTCGTAATACTAGCTAACGACAGCTAACATCTGCCAGACACTTAAGTCATCTAGACATGTCCACTCATTCGTGGTATGGATTCTCTTATGTGACTTTGCAGTTTATTTAATCCCCTTGAGTCCTAATCTCCTGTGTGATCACCACTTTGGAACCCAATGGAGGGTCAGCTATGAGTCTGTTTTGATTCAACAACAATGCAGAAATATCAGTCTAGGGACTAAGGTGTACCTGATCCAAGTCATGGTCTTCATAATTGTTTGCTTATGCATCAGAGAGCTGGACAATGACTAAGGATGACAGAAGAGGAATTGATGCCTTTGAGTTTTGGTGCTGGAGAAGAGTACTGAACATCTCATGGACTGCCAAGAAAACAAACAGATATGTCTTGGAGAGGGTGAAACCAAGCTGTTCTTGGGAGGCAAGGATTTTGAAGCTCCATCTCACCTATTGTGGGTATGTTGCCAGGAGTGACCAGCCCTTGGAGAAGTATCTCATGCTTGGGAGATTGGAGGGCCAGAGCAATAGAGGAAGATCCTAGTTGAGATGGAGAATTCTTTTCTTCAAAGGAAATTCTCAAGGCCCACCAGAGACATAATACCTGTTAGTGTTTTTCCTTTCTTCTTGTAGTAAACACCAAAGATAACAGCCGCCACTAATGCCCCAGACGCGAAGAGGAGCGGGATAATCAGACTAGGCAGATAAACCCGGGGCCCTGGATTGGAGAAAAGGGAGAAACCTGCATTAGAGATGGTGTAGTTTCACTCTACAAGCTTGAAGGCCAAGCCCATGTAGCAGTCAGCGATGCTGGGGCTGGAATTACAGAGCATGACCTTCACCCGCCCTGACTGTCCACCCACCAAGGCACCGTTTGCAGGTGGAGTAGCGTCTGGTCTAGTCCTCCCGAGGCCAGCACGGAGTTCTCATCTATGGTTGATTCTGTTGGTCAGATGGCCCTGGCCCCAGGCCAATTCCATGCACAAGGGGTCCAGGCCACTTGTGGGGGCTGGTTTTTGGAAGTCGGTCATCAGGCCTTTTTTCCTGTTCTTCTTAGTTTGGAGGTCCACTGTAGCATCATAACTACATACAAGTCTCACTGTGTTTGTACTTTTGAAGAACTATCATCATGCTCACCACGCCTTCCAACTTCATCACAGTACCCAACGCACTGCATGATCTCTCCAGTTGGAGAATCTCTGCTCTTTCCAATAACAAGGTGAAAGTGGGATATTGTTGTTATGAGAACAGGACAGAGGTCCAGGGAATAGGTCCCAAATCTCATCTACAGTACAATCTGAACTCATCTATTTTCTCACCCCTTCTTGATGATGATATTATTAGAATGTTCACATTTAATTTGACCTGGTTTCTTGGCCTCACCTTTCTTCTTTCTCTCTTTTTGAAATAACTTTGTATTCCTCAGATATTTTTAATATTACTTCCAAAACAATCTTTTATAAACTCTGCTGTGATCATTTAACCTCATATCTAGACCCCCTACTGCCCTCCAACTTCTTCTCCTCCCCCAACTTCTTACACTGTCAAATCTCAACTTATAATTTGCTTAGTTCTCATTGTAATTGACTGGAAACCATAGCTGACCTCTGTTTGGTTTCTGAGGCTCTAAATCTTTCAGCAGGACATTGCTACCTTCTCCTGTGGGATTGTGGTGGCTCAAAGCACCAGAGAGGAGCAGTGTTTGGATCTGTAGCACAACTCTCTGTGGTATATGCCATCAGTGCTCCCTCTGACTTAGTCAAGGTTCACAGAACCACCAC